TTTCCCTAGTCCCTTTTTCATCTGTTCCCTGCTGACTGCTGGCTCGGAGCGAGTGCGCTTCTCTCTTTTATGTCGTAACGACAGCTGCACTGAAGAGGGAACCGAATGGTGTAAATAACGACTGTTCAAAGTTCAGGAACAGAAGTAATAGGGGCTTTGTTTATTATGCTTTGTGTTTTTTCCCCTCTTTTCTGCAACGCCTGACAGGACTCTGCTTATTATGCAGCCTGGCCAAAGAATTGAATAGATGAGACTGATTCGCCTCTTAGCTTCCTTTTATTGTTTGAAGTCAGTCCTTTACACTTGGCCCCCGGAAGAGATTACCATGTCAATGTTTGCACCTGTGAATCATGGGTTCGTCACACCAGAGCCTATAGCAATAATGGCGCGATTTAGGTAGGTTTGACAGAACAGGCATCTGTATTGTGAAGACAACAGCCCGGGCATTTTGGCAAGAGCTGTATTTCACCATGACAGTGATTCACAACCGTACAGTGCACCAATGGAAAGGTAACAGTTGCCTCATTAGCATATCCATTATGACCTCACAACCACAAGAGTCTGCTTTTATTCCAATGTCCTGCCTCTGTCTCTGGTTTGATTTGTAGCAGAGTTGCACCTGCATTAGTAAGTCCCATAAAAAGACAGTTACTGCACTCGAGGGAATACTATTTTAATAATTTAATTAAAATATTAAAAACAAAATATAAATTGCATTAAATGCAATAATAATTAATATATGCATTTTTTTTTACATTTTACCATGATTTGGCAGATTTTTCCCCAAAAAACAGCACAGAGCTTACCACAATTTGGAAACCCAGTATACTTTACCGCAGGTACAATTTGGATTTAAAGCACTTGATTTCTAACGAAGAACCCATCACTAGTACTCCACCGAGCCCCTGACTGTTATTTCAGTTCCATCTGACTGAGCATCAGCACATGGTTCCACCGAGTGTCATTTTATCATGTGAAAATCCATCCCTGGGTTATAATCCTCTCATCACATTTACATTAAACTGACCTCCGGGATACAATGCTGTTCAGATGGGATCCAAACTTAGCACCACTAATCTCTCGTGAACCATGGCGAATTCAAGGCTATGCTTCTAAAATATTCCTCTGCTGAAATGTGCACAGGCACAGAGCTGATTTTTCAGGCCACATTGGTATCTTTTACACTGCGGTATCCGACTGGATAAAGCGCCAAAAAGGGGGTCATGGAATTTTCTAGTGTGTTATATCCGAATACACGGCCTTGGATTTCAATGCGGGGCTAAATGTGAGCGTACAGACTGAATGAACAGGAAAACCGCTGCATTCCAGTCAGCGCTGAGGCTGTGATTATTGTACAGGAAAACTGTTGTTTTCCTTAATGAACACTAAGGCAAAACAAACCACATGTTAGTGCTGTATAAACACACAGTGGCCTTGACTAACTCTGTGCAGTTCTCTCATCTATAGAGTATGTGCTAATATAATGATCAGATTCCTGCCAGGGACATTGCGGTAGCTTCCTAATCTCTGGAAGTACGAGCCATACTTTATATTAGCTTTGGCATAGAGACATTAGAATTTGTTTAGGGATGAAAGAGTAATGCTATGTTGTGATTCATTGCAGACTCTACCCACAATTCAAAGCACAGGCGAACAGTTTCAATGGACAGAAGGGTAATTTTAAGCTCTGAGGGCTGATCTCTGTATAGAGAGCCCGGCTCAAGGGCTCAAGCTATGGATACGAGTGCAAAGCGAACCCCATCCCGCCTCCCCGTGTGCCGTGACATATTTTCCTTCCTTTTATAAGCTACTTAACAATAGAACCAAAGTTGTTTGATCTTTTAAATTCATATTTACAGCTATTGTACTGCTTCAGATAAAGAACCTAAACCACAATCCCGTTATGGCAGAAAATACTATTAATTGTTGTGCAATAGGAAAAAAATGACACTTTGGAATTTCATGCCTGGGATTAATCCATCATTCCTAATAACGACTAATCTTTGAGCATGTAATCTAAATGGTTAAATAAATACCAATAGTCATATGGGCACAGAAATGAAAGTTATTTAAGCAGACAAAATCAAGCAGAAAAAGAAACCAAAGTTTGAAAAGTTGCTGCATTTGAAAAGGCCGATCACTTGGCAGCGAAGAGTCTTATCTCTGTTGCCATTTTTTAGCAGGTTAAAAATAGAAAGTCTAATTTTCCTTGAGGGAAGCAGCACTTTGTGGGAGTGCGTCTAAAAAACGATTAGTAGGAGAGGTTAGTCCATTAGTCTTTATTTCTTCCCTGACATTCTCTGGTGGTGATAATGAGAGGCTTTGTGAGAGCAGGGTGTCGTGGCAGTGTAGTGATATTTATAATTTCTTTTGTCTCTGCGGGAGCTCCGGCTGCGCCAGTAATGGCTGCTTCTCTCTCTGTGCCAGCTCCCACTGCAGAGCGCATCCATTCCCCCATAGGGAAATGACAGTGTGAAGTAGGGACAGATTACACTCTCACTGACCACATGGCTTCCTGTTGGTCTTCGCTCGCCTACTCAGGCACTTTTGTACTCTTCTTCCACGGAACTATTGGCCGGGTATTGGAAAAAACAAGACTTTGAGTGCAAATTGCAAAATTACTAGCAAAAATCAAACAGCAAATGTATTTATTTACTTTTACTCTCTCTAGATTACTCACGGGATGTTTTTCGTGTCGCTCATGAATAAAAACATTGAGTAATGCTCTCCTCCATTTTCTGATTCAACTGGACATGTCAAACCGGACGTGTCAATAAGCTCTTCGCTGATTGGCTTCCGCGATTTTCCGCTCGAGCTGAAATTTTTCAACTTGCGCAGAAGACGTGATTGAGGCATACATCATGCATTCGCGGCAATCACATCACACAATTCGCATCATTCGCATCACTCTGCGCATCTTTGCATTGACTATGTAATCTACTCACGCGAATAATTAAGTTCGCTTTTGGTGTGCACACACGATAAGTATCTTGTTAAATAGTAAAAATGTCATATTACTGA